GGCCGGAGAAGGGAGGGAGGGAGGGAGGGAGGGAGGGAGGGGCGGGTGGGAGCGGAGGGGGCGGGGGGAGATGTTGAGCCTTCAGGGGCCGAGGAGGCGGCGGCAGCAGAGGAGAGAGCGGGAGGAGGGAGGGAAGGCAGGAAGAGGGCAACCGAAGGCCGGGCCAGGTGGCTCGACCGGGTGCTGGCTGCGCTGCTCTCGGCTCCGACGGCCTCTCTCATGCGTTGAGGGCGCCCGGCTGGGCCGGACCGGCGGCCGGAGGGGAGGCTCCTCTCCATGGTCCAGAAGACCAGCATGTCCCGGGGCCCTTACCCATCCTCCCAGGAGATCCCCATGGAGGTCTTCGACCCCAGCCCACAGGTGAGGCGTGGTGCCCGGGATCGAGGGAAGGGGGCCGGTCCCGCGGACCCTGTGGGGTCGGATCGAGGGGGGCCGGGGAAAAATCGGTTATATGCCCGGCGCCCAGGGGAAAGGGCTGTGCGCCCCGCAGCTCTGCCGGTGAATGATTGATGGGCGCTTGGCCGGGAGTTGTGCTGCGGTTTGGCAGAGCTGGGAGGAGGCGGTCGGGCCGCCTGTCACCCTCGCCTCTTCCTCTCCCACGCGTCAGGGTCTCTGCTGCTCGGGTACCGGCTCCAGTGGGTTGAGAGTGTGGGTGCTGGCGGGGGGACCCGGGTGTTGAAGGAAACTAGAGAGCGAGCTCAGGCAAAGGGGGGACGCAGAGCACGCTCAGGGGCGCCGGGCGGGTGTGGGTGGGGCGGGGGTGGCCGAGGCGGTGGTCAGCGGGCGGTGCCAGCAGGCCTTCAGAGCTGCGGACACTGGCCCTCGAGGGCGGGGAAGGGACCAGCTCTGGGCCGGGCCCCCGTCCCAGCCACTTCAGCTCCACCCCTATATTGGACCACCTCCCCTCCCCCAACAAACACCCACGTTGTCCCTCCTCCAACCCATCCCCCCCAGCCCCAGAAAATGCCTCCAAAGTTTGGAAAGTTGAATGGATGCCAACCCACTGTCCTGGAGGGGAAGAAACTATGTTACCTGGGGGGCGTGGGGATGGGGGTGGTCTTCTGCCTCCCCACTCACACTTCTCCTGTGCCCCCAGGTTACCCCCAGAAAGGGGTATTCTTGGGTGGGGAGGGTGCCCATGGAGTGACCAGCAAGGTCTGGGGTGGTCGTGCCAGGGGATTTCTCTGGGACCTGTCCTTATCCAACCTGGCAACACCCCAAGGCTACGATAGCATTAACTCTTTTCTTGCTGTGGTCAGCCTGGAGCAACTGTAACCACCATGATAATGTGGGCACGTGGGGTGTGGGGGTCAGGTCAGACCTAAAAATACCTCCCTTCTCCACCCCAGGCCCCTTGGAGCCTGGGAGGCAGCTGACTGGGGCCTTCCTTTCAGCTGTCCCTTGTCCCTCTGGGTGCCACTCCCTTTTCCTTGCCTGGGATAGTGGTGGTGGTCTGAAAGAGTCTGGGGCTCACTGGGGGAATCCTCTTAAGTTCATAGGGATCCTCAGTCCTCGAGGTTGGAGATACGTCTTGCTGGAGAGAAGATGATGGGAGGGAGGATTCTCAAAGGGTTCCCAGGTGCCCTTCTCTCCCATCTATCCACCCTCCTCCTTGTACTCAGGCCCAAGGAACCAGAGCCTCTAGCCTGGTCATGGCTTACCTAGCTTCTTTGGTAAAGAAACTAGGATGGAGGCTGGGGGCAGGGGCTTGGAGGGCCTGAACCCTCTGATTCCCCCCCACCCCACTCTAGACAGGCTGGGGGCCAATGTGTATATTTGAGTTGGGGAGAGCAAAGAAGTCGGCCCCTTTACAGGAGGCCTGGAAATACCTGAATGGGTGGCTGCGTGAGAGGTCGGGCAGTGTCCACGCCACCGAAGCCAGGAGCCCAGCCAGTGGGACTGAGCAATTCTTCTCCAAGGCCCTGCGGGGGGCTGTGTCCTAGACTCATCTCGGGGCAGGGCCAAGGGACATTTAGATTGATGCAGCCTGGATATCATGGGGACAGGACGTGGGCATGGGCAGCTGAGGGTTAGAGGGCTTGATCCCTCTTGCCCCCTTGGGGAGAAAAGTATGATCACTGGCTGTGAGGACGGGCTGAGAAGTCCTACCAGGTTGGAGGCAGGGTGCTAAATCTGCCCGCATGGGTCAGGCTTGGCATTAGATGTTTACTTTCCAAATACAGTTCCACGCCCCCTACCCTTCCCTGGGAATCTAGTTTTAGGTCTCCAAGAGCTGAGAGCTGCAACTCCCCTCCCCACTCTGTGAAAAACAAGGCAGGAGTTGAGCATGGGGAAAGCCAAGCTGGGCCTGGGTTGGCCAATCCTTTTCTCTCTGGGGGCCACAGGCACACTCAGCCCTGCTCTGCTCCAGCTGAGGTAGAGAGTGAGGGGAACTTTCCCAGGGGCTCTCTCCGCACCCCCAGCACTGCAGGCAGCCTCTCCCTTCCCCCTGAGGCTTCTGCAGCCTGCCCAGCGTCTCAATTAGCTTTGCTGCCTAATGAGTCTCCAGCTTCTCAGTGCCTCCCCCTTCCCAACCTCTCTGGCTTGGTTTGGGGGTTTCTGTGTGTGCTTCCTAGGGCTCTCTTTCACTGTCCCCCACCCCATGGCTGTGGTCTGGGTTCTCCCTCCCGCTTGGGCTGTACCATCTCAGGAAGAGGATAGAGGGGCGGGCTGTTGAGATCAGGGAATGATATTTCCAAGGCTTAGCTGTGGTTCTGGGCCTGATGGGATGAGGGTTGGGAAAGGGCCTTTTTGATTCTACTCTTGTCCCTTCCTGGCTTCTCCAGGGCAAATACAGCAAGAGGAAAGGGCGGTTCAAAAGGTCGGATGGGAGCACATCCTCGGATACAACATCCAACAGCTTTGTCCGCCAGGTAATGGGTAGGCTGGGCTGAGAGGAGGGAGGTGGCTGGTTGGTGGAGACCAGGATTGGTGAGCTGGGTCTGAGGCTTTCTCCAGGCACCCTCCCCCGTGTCGTCACCTGCCTACAACCACCCCATACCCTTACGCCCCATGACCTCCTCTGCATATACTGTCAGCTGTACCCACTCCCTCAGCCCCCACCCAATCCCTCTCCCAGCACCAGACACCAGCCCCTGCTGCCTGCCTGCCTGCCTGCCTGCCTGCGTCATCTCATTCAGGGACAGCCTGGCCTGCCTCCTTCGAGCTGGCTTCAGGCTGTCACCCACTCCCCCTGCCGGCTGTCTCCTTCCATGTCCTCCCCCAGAATCTGTGACAGCATGGGGTAGAGGCAGGTCCTAAGAAATGAGGAGCCCTGATTAGGTATGGGTCAGGGAAACACCCTCCTCACATCCAGATGTGACTGTTCTTTAATACGCAGAGAGAGAAAGTGTGTTGAGGGAGGTGGAGGAGAGGCAGGAGGAAGTTGATGTTAGAGAGGACTTTAGCCCAGCATCCCTGAATGAAGGGGGGTAGTGTAGCTGAATGGCTTTCTGGGGTTTTCGGTTCTCCCATCAGGAAGATGCTGTTCTCATCTCTGTTCTAACTGTCAACCCCAGGCCATCTCAGGCTCAGGGAGAAGCAGTGAGAGAGCCATGTTAGTTGCTATGACTACAGAGCATCTCAACAAAGCCTGGTACCCAAAAAAGGCAAGAGGGGCTTAGGATCAGACAAGGAAAGGAGTACCTTGAAGAAAAAATGGGCAGCATATGAGGGCAGAGGACAGTAAGGAAGTCAGCTGCCCCCGCCTCCACCCCAGGCCAGGAGAGAGAGGGTGATGCCAGGCAGATCCACTACAGATTGGAGAGAGACCCTTCTTTTCACTTCTTCTGTCTCCACGACACTTGGCACATGTGAGCCTGGGCCTGACTTGAGAGGGTCAGGAAAGGGGCTCTTCATCCCAGCATCTCCATACAAACATGAAGTCCTTTCTTTGATCTTTCCCTCATCCCCCGTGTTGCAGGACTGGGCCAGGGCTGGGGCTAGGAAGAATGACACTGTGCTCAGTGGAGCCCCTCTTGACAGAAAAGGGCCTCATTCCTTCAGTGTTTGCTGACCCAGGGGATCAGACCCCAGTCTCCAATCCTTCCTCCTCTTAGCTCCCCAGCTCTGACCCCCTGTAGGTGGCAGGGAGTGGGGGGGGGCAGTCCTTGCCACATCTCTGAGCTAAATATACCCTAGCAGTTTGCACATGTAGCAACTCTGCTTGTAACCTGAGCCCCTTGGGGGAACGGGTAGTTTGGGCCACCCCCTAGGCCAGCAGGGGCAGGCACTGAGGGCGCCGGGATGGAGGCGCCCAACCGGACCCTCGTAGTGGTGAGCTGGGGATGGAGTGAAGGTGGGGGGAGGTGGGAGCAGCCCCTCAGGAAAGCTGGTAGGAGGCCTTCACTCCAGCCTGTCTCCTTGCCTCACTGTTTCCTTGTCTCCCGCCATTCTTGGGGGTGTGTGTGTGCATATGTGTGTTTGCGTGTGTGTTGGGGTCAGTAAGTGTCTCTCTGCCGCTCCATCTCTGGGTCTGTTCCCCTGGCTCTCCTGGCATCTGTCTTTCTGACTCTGAGTGCTCCCATCAGGAGGGGTGGAGAGTGCTAGATTAACTGGTTTTCACTCTCTTTCCTTTGCATCTGTTCTCCAGCTTCTTTTATTTAGTACCCCACCCACCCCCTACCTTTCCCCTCTCCACTCTCCCATTTTCATGATTTGATGGGCAGCTGCACTCACTGATGCACCAGGGTGCTCCGGGGAGGTGGGAATTGGTCTTCTCTCTTTCCCAGGTTCC